AACCCATTGGGTCTGATTAAATCCGTAATGGAGCCATGGGCGGATGATTTGGCCGACGATTTACAGAGTGTGAGCTTTACTTCCGCCGGAACCACCGTGAATCGAAGCACTAGCTCCGGTTCTCGCTCCTCTTCCTCCGCCGCAGCTCTAACTCCGGCGCCGTCAGCTCACGGCTCTTTCTCCTCTTCCAAACTCCCTCCCTCACTCCGATCGTCTCTCTCCCTATCCGATCTCCGATTCCGTCTCCGACTCGGCGCCGGAGACATCGGTTCCGTTTTCTTAGCCGAATTCAAATCCGTAGAAACCGCCGGAAAATTACCGCTCTTAGCCGCGAAAGTGATGGATAAGAAGGAGCTGGCGAGCCGAAGCAAAGAAGGTAGAGCGAAGACGGAGAGAGAAATCCTGGAGTCGCTTGACCATCCTTTTCTTCCGACGCTTTACGCAGCCATTGATTCTCCGAAATGGCTCTGTTTATTGACGGAGTTTTGTCCCGGCGGCGACCTTCACGTTCTCCGTCAAAAACAGCCTTTTAAACGCTTCCACGAATCCGCCGTCAGGTAACAGTTTCCGTTTATCTCCTTGGATTTGTATTTCCCCAAGTAATTAATATTTTCAGTTTCCGAAAATATTTTTTATTTTAAAAAAATATTTGGTAGTATTAGGAAGTGAAAAAATAAAAAGAGAAAGCAAAGGCTGATGAAATCAGGGGTAGTGGGACCCGCCAGCTGTCCATTGTCTCGTAGTTAACACTTCAAACATAACAGAGTTTATTGCTTAATCACAAGATTACTGCCTTTTTAACGGCAATTTACAATTGTTTATATCATAGGCCCGTTAAGTCTGTTACTTAGTGAAAATCGTATAAATCGAAATTTGGTTTCCGTAATTTCATCCGAAATTTTCGGAAATTTAGCATTTTCACTTAGTAACTTACGTAGTGAATTGTCCAGATTTGTTATTGAAAATGTTTCCACATTTGTTTTATTGATTGATGTGCTCGATAATGTGTTTTTTTTTAAGACTAGAAAGTCTATTATTACGCCACACACAAAAAGGAGCTAGAAAAGTCTATGTAATTTAATCCATAGAGTGGCCATTTATAATAATATAGTTCTTTTTTTTGTTTTAATTTATAAGTATAGTTTTCTTTGTCTATTCAATTAAAACCCATAGAGTGGCCATTTACAATATATATAGAGTTTTAAAACTTATTTTGGGAAGCAGATATATGCACGATTAACAAAGTGTGTGCATCATACACGTGTGGGTACATCGTAGGGCACAATTAAGTAGCTTCAATCTGGTGCGACGCTTTTGAAAACGCTTTTGAAAACAAGTCAAAACGAGTGGGGTTTGACTTTGAGTTTAAACAAATCATGTAGTGACACGTGTAAGCTTTAGTGGGACAGAGTGTTTGAATTAGATCACGTAGCATGCCATGGAAGGAGAAATGAATATTTTTTTTTATAATTAGGCATGTGGTTTCAGTACAAGCACATCCCAGCTAAGCAGGTTCTTGTAACTCTATTTACTACATTGCCATTCCCCTTTGAAACCGGTGG